ACATTGAGTTTGTCAGCATCTCAAAGGAAGGCTGTATTGAACCTTTGTAGTGCTGTTTGTCCAGTTGTCCAGTTCTTCGTTGGCTTCAGTTTTAAACTGGCCACAACTAGGTAGTGTTCTGAAGCTATGTCCGCTCCTCTCCTGGTTCTCACATCTTCCATCGTCCTTCGGAGATTTTTATTGATGCAAATATGATCTATCTGGTTCTCTGTGGTGTGAACCGATGAGATCCATGTAGCTTTGTGTATAAGTTTGTGTGGAAACATTGTGCCGCCTATGATCAATTTGTTGAATGCCCACAGATTTACAAATCTTTCCCTGTATTCGTTCCTCTCTCCCAGTCCATGCAGTCTCATGATATCTTCATAACGGTGTTGTCTATTCCGATTTTGGCGTTTAGATCTCCCATCGGAATGGTGAGGTCTTTTCTTGGGCACTTCTCTATGATTGATTGCAGCCTCTCATAGGATTGATCTTTAATGTCGTCATTGCTATTATTGGTGGGTGCATAGCATTGGATAATGTTCATTGTGATCCCCTCCTTCTTTGTTTTGAACGATGCTTTGATGATTCTGGATGTGTGAGATTCCCATCCTGCAAGTGCATTTTGTGCTACATTGGAGAGCATTAGAACAACTCTCTGAGTGTGTGAAGCATTTGTCTGTTCGTGATTGGAGTAAAGCAGCATCTCTCCTGTATTTAACTTTTGTTGTCTAGCTTGAGTCCAATGGGTTTCGCTGATTCCTAGTACTGCCAAGTTATATCTCCTCATTTCCATTGCTATTTGACAGGTCTTCTCGTTCTCCCACATTGTCCGGACGTTCCATGTACCTATAAATGTTGTTGATCTGGTTGTTAGAAGAGGCGTCGGCCTCACGACTCCCAGAGGAACCCGGCCTTCACCATGAGGCGCCATACTTCTTCTAAATGAAGACCTTCTGACTCCTAGGGCAGAGTGTAAATGGTTTGAGTTAATTTTTCTGGTTAGCATTTTTTTAGCGAGTTAGTTTTCTACGGGATGAGGACGCTAACCCATGCACAACCCTCCTCCTTTAACTGGGCTTGGGACCGGCACTACCTCTAGAAGAGATACAGGCGGATTTTCCTTTCCGTGCAATCCATCCATATTAAATAGAACCACGGATATGAATTCTCAATGAATATGTGCACAAAGATACAATAACTTCTCAACAAAATGAGTCTTATTTAGTAAGCACTGCTACATAATATACTGATCTAATACTGACCTGATCTTAAACACGTTTTCTTGAACATGTTGTTATTTAAATGTTATTACAGATTGTTGTGATGATGATTTTAATGTAAGGAAGACTAATAGATAAGTATACATTTACGAATAAGATTTGAAATATTGAGAAATCTGTCCGATTTACCACATTCAATATGACACAACACAATGTTGTATCAGTTCTGTTATATCTTATAAAATTCTCAAAGTAACATTTATTAGTTTTTATTCTCAGTACACATGATCGGAGTGCTTAATTAGACATACAAATTTGTGTTGACCTCAGTTGTTCACAGAAATATCAATGATCATACTTGGCTGTCGTCTATCACCTCATTATATCTGATCGATCAAGGCATATGGTACTCTCCATGCTCTATGTTGTATAGTGGGTGTGTGGTGGATCCCTGCAAAAAGAGCTTATACAAGATATACCAATGCGCTAGGTTAATAATAATACACCAAAAGAGTTAATAGTAAAAACCTTAGGTGTCTGTGTACGGGTATAATAAAGAGTAACAATTTACAGCTATAAATTACAAATGGTATATTAAGCAATATGATAATAACAAATATTAAAGGATAAATGTTACTTGAATGCTGCTCTCTGGGATATTAACCATAAATAGGTCCACTTGATTTAATGTAGGTTCTCCTGTGACTGATGGCACCGACGGCGTGACGAAGAAGACAGGGACCAAAAGTATTATGAAATGTTAATACGACCGACAATATCAACGTGGTATAAGGAGGTCTATAAGGATATTACAACACTATTATAGTCTTTGATCAAAGGCCGTGGCCAACAAAGCAGAAGGAGCAACGACGTAGGTAATGTGTTATATTTCAATCAGCGCGGTAGTAAAAAGTGTATTTAATTTATCAAAACAATTATCATCGTTTTTAAAATAAGTGATACAGAAAAACAACAGATATTGAATAAAAGTGTGGTTACAAAAAATCACGGAATATACGCCACGATATAACTCCCCCCCTAGAGCATGTCTCGTCTATGTCTGTCCGACATAAAACTTTAAATGCTTTGTAGGGAAAAGAAAATTACACAACGAGAAGAATAGACAAGTGTTATCAAATAAAATCATATGAGTATACATATTTGCGAACGAAACTGTTTTTTTGTAGTAAAGAGAAAGGAAAATCGTTTTTTATTTTAGTGTATATAAAAGGTTTAACAATAATAATTAAATGTATATTGATAGTAATAATAATAATGTTATTAATAATAGCAGTAATTAAATTGGTAGTTTACCGAAAAAAAGTAAATAGATAATTGTATATATCGTGTGCACAATTAATGATAAACTGAACGAGTCTAACGACGTTGAATATTGTTACACAAATAATAATTATAAACGTCATATGAAACGTATGCACATGTAGAGAAAAATATAATGAATTTGCCAATATTAGTAGTATATACGAAATGTTTTTTTTTTAAAAAATTATTTGCAAAATGAAATTGTTATTAGTAACTTTGCTGATATAGATCTTCACTTACATTACCAAAATAACGGAATGAAGATTAAGTAATGAATTCAAAAAAACGTTTAGGAAAATGTACATGTATTCAATTTATCAAAACAATTATCATCGTTTTTAAAATAAGTGATACAGAAAAACAACAGATATTGAATAAAAGTGTGGTAACAAAAAATCACGGAATATACGTCAACATAGGTGTATTATGAGTCTTCGTTGGAATAAAAAAAATATCGCTTTCTAATAATCAGTTGTTTATGTGACTGACAATCACCTACATATACACGTAGAACAAATTAAAGTGAAATTCTCATTTTACAAATGATTACTACTTTTCTCAACAGAAAATGAAGTGAAACAGATATTTTGGCTGTCAATTCATAGAAGGTCTTGATCCAGCTATGAGTAGACACTGCGACCATTTGCCATCAAATGTCAACTGAGTTTGTTGGTCGTTATCTCATATAGTCATCTAGATTTCACCACCTTAATCTGTCAATCTATGGAACTGCCGTTATTAATTTCGATTTTCAGAGACTCATCTAGATATTATGTCTAGTGTACATTGATCTGTGAGACTGTGGTGAGACATCCTGATCACATTATCCACATCATGTTCAGTGAATCACCGTGAACAGTTTTCATCAAACTGAATCACGAGACAAGTGCTAACTCGGATTCCTTAAAAGAAGAAAAAAGGAGAAAGGTCAAAGAACACTGCATCGAAATCGGAAGCAGACATCAAAAGTGGCTAGATTCTGGAAACAAATGGAAGGACTGCTCAAGACAGATTTGGATAAAGAATGCTGGTGGGCGGTCTGTGCTCCTCCACAAAGGTATAAACTCATGTATAAGCTGTTCGCACAAAGTTAATATTATAAGTTGTTATAGACGATTGAAGGGAATTAGTTTCTAGGTAACTCACTCTGTACAGTCAATCAAGATCAGATTTTTAGATATCTTATCAATTGTGTCTTAATTATTGTATGTTACTTCATAAAAAAGGCGAGGTAGATATACGGACCTCCTAAATGGTACTCTTTAAGTTTCGCTGTAATTAGATTCTCAATACATTATGAACATTATATGGCATAATTAATCAATTAACCAATTCATCCATACTCACAATGTACAAACCTACATTACGTCAATGACTACTATGAAACATCATGTCCTTACTTTGGATATTGCCTTGTGTCTCGGTGATCATTTTCTTAAGAAAATGACCTGCTTAGATTTCGATACTTGCGCAATATCCTAACCCTCACATATATTATATTGTTCGACACAGTCTACTTCCAGTTAGACAAGATTTCGTTTGGATTAAACAAAGAACAAAACAGCTTGAATATGTCTATCATTTGGAGAGACATGGGTTTTTGTTAACCCATCAAGTAGGTTTTCATGAAAATTTGAAGATTTCGCATTGATTTTGACAGTATCAGTCTACTCACTAGTAACAGAGAAACTTATCTACCAAGTTGTTTTCGGCGTTTACCAAAATGATTTTAGCTTGGGGCAATTTCATATCAATAAAGATTAATACGGTCATAATATAATTTTTTCTTTTTCCATGTTTACCTTCTTATATCTTGTGGATATATTTCCAACATCTTATTTGTTAATTGGAAATCCGATGCATGTACTTCAGCGTATAATTGAAATCATTTACGTAGTATAGTTTGTAAACTCGTTTCTAAGGTACATTTTTTATGTGTGAGTAATACTTCTGAACTACCTAAATCATGTTATACTAAGTGAGGTTCAAACCTACGGCTTATCAGTTTAAACCAAGTTCACTGATCATTATTCTACCATTCCACACACTTTCATGTTAATTCAGCCATCTTTCAACTTATGCTAGGGCCTAGAACGTAAAAAATTCCTATTGGCCCATTGTTCTAGAAATAACCTTGCCAAGCACTGGGTAAGGAAAACGGGCACTTGAATCGGTTTCAGGTTTATTCGTTTAAAATCAGTAAGTCTCCATGTTAAAATGTGCGTCTACTTAAGATGTCTTTTTATTCATTAGCTAAAATAACAGTAATGTGTATAGCCAAGTTTTGATTTCTTCGTGTCACCAGTTTTTCAGGGTTGTGAATTCTCATTTTTTCAATTTCTGATGGAAGTGTGTTATATAATTAACAATTTTTAGATATTCTTGAATTTAAACCTGCGATAACTCGGAAGTTGAGACGACGAGCTATAGGTGGAGTTGGTAGTGGTGTTAGCGTCGGCTCGGGAGGCGGAAATGATGTTTTCCGCTTCAAATCCAGCTAATTTCATGTACTGGGGTGATTTACTTCTTTGTGGTTCACATTGGCCAATGAATTCGAACTTGAGTACAAAGTTACAGAAATCCATTTCAAATGATTCATACAATTCTATTGTTACTGCAAATAGCAATGATGAAAATACCGATCCAGTCCAATCGTCGTCAAATTTAGAGAATGAACCTAAAGAGAATGCTTTAAATGATATATCAGGAATTCCATGTAGTAATACAATGTCATCAGTATTCCAGTCGACCTCATTATCATCATCATTATCAATAACGTCGGCATTAACCACAACAGCGACGATGCCTACTACAACTTCCATAACTAGCACCACGTTCAATTCGACTTCTAAGTCAAATATATTTGGTACTTTAGGTTTAAATCCCTTTGATGGAAGTTTATTATCACATCTATTAGCTTCCATGAATAACAACACATCATTGACAAATTTATATACGAATTCTTCATATTGTTTATCAAACACACCAGACAACATAAATAATGTCGGTGACTTTTTAACTAATGGAGGTGTAGCAGTGAATTCGTCGTGTAATTCTACTGCAGTAGCTGTGGCAGCTGTTGCAGCTGGTCTTATTATGCCGTCAAATGGTACTGGAACGATTGGTTTATCAAATAACATCAGACTGTCTCCAGTTACTGCACTTGGTTGTGGTCTAGTACCACTTCTAAATAATAATAATAATCATAATCACTCTTCATCAACGTCTATTCGTAAAAGACGTCATCAGAATACTACGCCTAGTGCACAACTAAATCTTTTATTACCGGAACATGAAATTTATGCAGATTTAACAATTATTCATAGGTAAGATATTATGATAACATTTCACAGATATATATAGAATTATAGTAATATAACCCATTTTGATTATTACAAACTTAGAAAAAAAGTATTTTTGAAGTGTTAAGTCAAAATTTCGCATCGCTTGACGATTCTTTTCGTCGCTGAATATATAGGTCTTATGGCTGAATGGTATTTGCTCAGAGGCTTTTATTTGTTTTTATTTAAACACATAAATATAGGTGCAAGAAGGCACCAAATAGATATGCGCCACATAAATCATCCGATTTGTGTGGGGGCTAGAATAATACCCGGGTGCCCAAACCGAAGCAGGTGGTTTTCTTAGGGGCCACCCCCACCTCAGAGGACCAGATTAATAATGTAAATTTTCGAATCATTTGAAATGTAAGTCATGAACATTCACTAAAAATGTAGATTACTTATGTGATAAAGTTAGATGCTCATGTATAAGCTGTTCGCACAAAGTTAATATGATAAGTTGTTATAGAAGATTAAAGGGCATTAGTTTCTAGGTCACTGACTCTGTACAGTCAAATAAGACCCGATTTTTAGACATCTTATCAGTTGTGTTTTATTTATTGCATGTCACTTCATAAAAGTGACAAGGTAAATATACGAACCTCCTAGATGGTACTCTTTAAGTTTCGCTGCAATTAGATTATCAATACATTATGAACATTATGTGGTATAATTAATCAATTAACCAATTAATCCATACTCACGATGTATAAAACTACATTACGTCAATGACTACTATGAAACATCATGTCCTTACTTTGGATATTGCCTTGTGTCTCGGTGATCATTTTCTTAAGAAAATGACCTGCTTAGATTTCGATACTTGCGCAATATCCTAACCCTCACATATATTATATTGTTCGACACAGTCTACTTCCAGTTAGACAAGATTTCGTTTGGATTAAACAAAGAACAAAACAGCTTGAATATGTCTATCATTTGGAGAGACATGGGTTTTTGTTAACCCATCAAGTAGGTTTTCATGAAAATTTGAAGATTTCGCATTGATTTTGACAGTATCAGTCTACTCACTAGTAACAGAGAAACTTATCTACCAAGTTGTTTTCGGCGTTTACCAAAATGATTTTAGCTTGGGGCAATTTCATATCAATAAAGTTTAATACGGTCATAATATAATTTTTTCTTTTTCCATGTTTACCTTCTTTTATCATCTTCATCTTTATTTTCCCGTAAATTATTCTACAACAGAGCTTGTTCAAAAGTGTCAAATATTCCCAATGGAACATCAATGAGTAGCGGTAGTCGTAAGCATTCTTCACATACTACAAGTAACAATTCCAATTATACTCCTTATAATAATTCGAATACATCTCAATTGTGCTGTACTAGTCCATTAAGTCCTTCCTTAGGTAAATGTTATGAAGATAATTGTGGCTCAAATAGACTGACAAAAGATTCCAACACAACAACTATGAATACACCGTTATTTTCATCTCATTCAATTGGTTCGCCTAATTCATTCAATAGTGCAAGTGTTGGTGATTTGCCAGTAACACGTACAGGTGCACGTACAACTGGAACGGGCCACATTGGGACTAGTTCATCCATGAATAACCAGTCCAATGCATCGTTTTCTGTGTGGATAGACGATGGACGACTTTACTGCGGGCATAAATGGTATGATATTTCGGTTCAGCGTCTTTCTTTGCAACAGTTAAACTGAGAACATAAAATTGTTTTTTCCTGAAGCAAATAGAGTGACTGTCAAGGGAATTGTTGGTATACTGGTTTTCGTAGGTGTAATATGTGTTGATCTCATATTTCAGACATGTAATTTATGATGAAATATTCTACTCGGGTTTACCGGAGAAAAGTTTCGTAATTTTACTTGACGACTAGATTTAGACAGACAACTATTACAAATAACGATCACTAAATAGTTGTTTCATATACGTGTTCTGATCACTGCCTACCCGAGAAATCGTTACAAATCTTACTCGGAACTTTTACGCCTTATGCTGAGTCATTTGATATTGTCGATTATGGAGTCAAATAAGAAGGTTGCGTTACACCACCATAAATGCTAATAATAATAATAATTTATTTATTCCAAGGTACAAACGAACAGGATATACGCTAGTTAGTTAGTTCACATGACGAATACACAACCCTTTGATATGAATGATCCACATACGAATAAAAGAAAGTCTTCGTATTCTTAAGAAGAGATACATATTTATTGAGAATTCATATCCATAGTTCTATCTTATTTTGTTTGAATTGCACGGAAAGGATCATTCAAACCTTCTATTCCGGCAATGAGTAGATAAGTTTATTTCGTATCCGAACTCAGTCAGTCAGTCAGCTACAAGCATGCCTGCGTTCTAGAACCTGATGAATGTTGAATATGAGGTCTATGCATCCACAACCAGGTCTGAAGCCAGCCTGATTTTCTCGTGTTCGCGATTCACGAGTCTTAGTTGAGCGCCCAATAATTATTGAGGCTAGTACTTTAGATGCTTTATCATTTAAACTAATCTCTCTATGGTTATCACAGGATGATTTTGACCCTTTCTTACGTTCAACTCACAGATTTTAGCCAATATATTAGTCAACCTGATCGTTAAAATTAGACCATCATATATAAATACCTCTGGAGCGAATCCATCTGGACCAGCTGCTCTACCTCGTTTCAGATTAGCTATAACATTTCGAACTTCAGCTAGAGTCGAGGGACCTACATCAATGTTCTATTCAGGCTGTCTGGGAATGGTGGGTAACTGTAGAGTAGGTGGAGGGCAGCTAAACTGTTCTCTAAAGTGTCCGAACCATCGTTCTAAACGTCTGGACTGAGAGCGGATAAGAGTTTCGTTTCTTTCCGAGATAGTCTGACTTACACGTGACTTATTAATTCCAGTTTCCCTCATTATTATTTAACGGAGAAACTGAACAATATCATAAAATATAGCGTATGAAATATGATATCGATAAGGCAAAACCAATTTTACAGTTGTGAGTTTGAGTAAACTGTCATCATATAAAAAGATATGAAAAACGAACCTGTTCACTATGTAAATTACTTGGTGTATTACTTCTTTCGTGTATATTTCCATTACTATGACTGAAGGTTTTATTACCGACTCCGTTGACATGATAAAAATCTGCTGTAGAGATACATATTCTTGATTGTCCATTGAGAATCGAAGTATTGAGATTATTAGTAGGAGATCTTTGATGGAATGTGGACTTTTTCTCTCATATGGTTTTACCATCAATGATTGTGTACTGTTGATGTTTTCATGTTCACAAGAGGAATCGATATAATTTTGTTCACATGTAATCAGTAGAATAAATTCGGTGGATGGATTAGAACAAAATTGAAATGAAGAAAAAAACACTTGATGTCAATCATATTTGATGTAAAGTTATGTAAACTGTTAGTGATAATTTGAAACAATGATTATTTGTTACTGAACACATTTCATGAGGTTAAAATGTACATTTAACCTCATTGGTCCTTCTTGCCTTACCGTGTCCATTCAGTCCAGTAAGCAGTACGAGGCTTCACCGTATAAATAATGTAAGTCAGACGCACACAGTTTATATACCATCAAACCAGACCACATCACGCCACAAAACGAGAAATAATAATGAAACAGGAACAAGTCCAAAGTATCTGTGTGTGTGGGAGACCGTAACTAACATATTGGGAATAAGTTAAGAATAGTAATTCGTATTTTAGTAGTTGATGGGTTAAATGGAAGCTTCTAATGAGAGAAATATAAATACATACACAATCTAGTTAGTTAATAGTTATATAATGACAGTCCATAAATAGTCCTCAGAAGTTATCCATAATTTAATCACCTTCCTAAAACAACAACTTTCTTATTATTGATGTCTTAAATTACATTGAATATGAGCACAGAACATGGACTGTAGTTGCCAAGACTGGGTACTTGAATAAATGACATGTTTGTGCATAAATCTATAAAAGACTCAAAGGGACACGGAGATATGGTTGAAAATATTACACTGGCTAATTCAATACGAGTCTGAGTGGTTCACTCCAATTATTCAAGTTATTATAACGTAAAATGAATTGAAGTTTAAGTTGGAAGATTTCACCATTTGTTAGCTTTAAGTTGCCAATGTCAAACATTCGATGATTTATTCCGTTCACTAAAAGTATTTGTAATAATTCATTATTTGAAAGTGATAAAGCCATGCGTAATGTGTGTATCAGTCAATCCATATTATCATTATTATGATATAGAATGATTGCTTCTTAGGACTTCAGACTATCTATCGTACAATAAGGTAGGGCTCACTATTTTGATGCAAACCACAGTCATGAATAAACAATAAACTTCAGGACAGTCAAATTTCATTTGAGATCCCAGTTTAAATCATGGAAAACGGAAATATATTGGGCACGATTCCCAACGTTTGTGATTTGATTAATCACTTTCGGCATTTTCAACCCCTCGAATATAATCATATATCGTTATTTGTGCCGTGTGTCTGGGGTGTTCTTTAAAATATGCAGTCATATAAGAGCGTTTTCGTTATAAATGGAGATTCATATTTTAATTTGACCAGGAATCTTTCACCAGTAAATTTGTTTATATTTCATATGAGGACGAGCTAATCAGTAACAAGACATTTAAACATCCGCTTTTCATTCGTGTGTGTTCGTATTTTCCTGTTGTTCGATATTGACAACTGAAATTGATCAGTCTCTATTGTTCGATGTACATCCTGAGTGAACTACTTAAACGCTGACACTTAGTCACATATTCAAAGTAAGTTGGGTCGTAGCTAGAAGCGGAATTCATGACACCAGTTTGGGCATTATCGAAAATCAATAATAGGATTCACGTAGTTAATTCAAATTTACGACTCATCAACAGAATCGAAATACGCTTGAATATACAAGCCAACGGTATATAATGAACTCGGTGCTTACTGATCTAACGTTCATTTATAGAATATTATTTAAGATGTCTTTTTTCTATAATCTCATAAAGTTCAGACGAAACCCCATTTGATTGTTCAATTCATCATAAACTATTTTCAAGTTATTATCATAATGGTGGAGTTTAATTTGATTTCGCTTCAATGAGATATGTTGATTTGTAGTCGAGATTGTTTGTAAGTAGCGTGTAGTGGAACGCGATGTTACAGTTACCATAATTTTCGGATGAACCGAATAGCTTCAGTGCATTCAAAGCATGATGTTGACAGAACACTTGGAGACCAGACGAGAATCCAGTTCAGATGTCAGAACACACGGAAAGGTGCAATTACAGGATTGAAAGCTATGTGTAATGTATTAAAGGAGCACGTTGAAACTTCTCACAATAAATACTTCCCTCCTGCCCATCGTTGTGTTACTTTCACATCAAGCAACTGAGAAAGTTGTTTCTAACATTAAACTCTCATTAGTTTTCTCAATATTTTTTAACTGCCTTTTACCTGATCTTAACGGGAATTGAATATTATCATCGAATGATGGAACCATATTATGTGTTTGACACATAACGTTTTTTCCAGATCAAAAATCCGGTTCAATATCTGAGAGAAATACAACAATAATAATGAAATTCAGTGAGCTGTGTTTGTGTTGTATGCATCTGATATCTATCGACACAAATCAGAATTGAGATGCTGGACAGCGGAAAGTTGAGAAGATCAAATTGAAGTGAACAGAAATGTTAACAGAGAGTGAGTGTATTGGAAATACGAATGAAGAAACGATGATGTTTATGACGGACGATTGATGTTTGATGTACAAATGAAGAATTGAATGTGTGGCTTTCGTATTTCAGTAAGATATCCTATAATTCGTATTCAACAATCAGTTAGCTGTCCACGCGCAGTACATCATTAGTTTGACAACTATTGAACAAAAACTGTAATGGATCGGTGCTTTGCTTTAAAATCTAACTCAACACCAGAAAGTGAACTGCGAGAAAATTTTTGGTCGCAGTGTCTATTCATAGCTGGATCAAGACCTTCTATGAATTGACAGCCAAAATATCTGTTTCACTTCATTTTCTGCTGAGAAAAGTAGTAATCATTTGTAAAATGAGAATTTCACTTTAATTTATTCTACGTGTATATGTAGGTGATTGTCAGTCACATAAACAACTGATTATTAGAAAGCGATAAATTTTATTCCAACTAAGAATCTTATTACACCCACTATACAACATAGAGCATGGAGAGTACCATATGCCTTGATCGATCAGATATAATGAGGTGATAGACGACAGCCAAGTATGATCATTGATATTTCTGTGAACAACTGAGGTCAACACAAATTTGTATGTCTAATTAAGCACTCCGATCATGTGTACTGAGAATAAAAACTAATAAATGTTACTTTGAGAATTTTATAAGATATAACAGAACTGATACAACATTGTGTTGTGTCATATTGAATGTGGTAAATCGGACAGATTTCTCAATATTTCAAATCTTATTCGTAAATGTATACTTATCTATTAGTCTTCCTTACATTAAAATCATCATCACAACAATCTGTAATAACATTTAAATAACAACATGTTCAAGAAAACGTGTTTAAGATCAGGTCAGTATTAGATCAGTATATTATGTAGCAGTGCTTACTAAATAAGACTCATTTTGTTGAGAAGTTATTGTATCTTTGTGCACATATTCATTGAGAATTCATATCCGTGGTTCTATTTAATATGG